CCATTCTTATACCCAATAGAAAAGACGAACGGAAAGGTTTGGTCAAATCATAAGAACAAAATTGAAGCTTTCTAAAACTATATGGACGGATAAAATCATTTAAAAAGACACCTATTGTTTTTCCCTATAATTTAGTCAAATCTTATAAATGGTCTTTAAACTATCTTTTTTACTCCCACAAAAAACTCTTTCGTTTTCTGCCATTATTTTCCCCTCAGCCCTAAACTTGAACCTACTACAATGCTCTAACATTGTCATACATGTAGAAAAGCCCAACTCAAAATCGCATATTTGGTATGTTAACAAAATATATAACGACGTGTATACGATTTATAAGGTTGGACTAAATCATAAGAACCAAATTATAAAACTGAATCGTCCTAACTACACTCACTAAATTAAGACTCGATTGTTTAAACTCTGAGCATCAAATAGACAACTTATAAACGAGTAACATATAAGGTTATATCCGAACATAGCTTAATAAATAAGACACCTATTATCATCTCTACGATAAGACGATTCGGTCTCTTAGTTCGTAATGATTGAAGTAGAAAAATGAGTAAAATATTGAGGGCGGTTGGCGAAGAATGATGGGGCGGTCGATCTCCATGCACGCGGGGGTGTGGATATTCCTGTGGGCTAATTCAGTGCATTTGGTGACTTACCTTTTTTTTTTTTTTTTTTAATTTCTTTTCCTTATACTTCCTTATATTTTTATTTTATTTTTCTTTCATGAAGGAAACCATCTCGTTCCATTTCCTCACTCAATTTTTGTTCCTAATCTATTTGTATATTTCATTTTAACGATTCTCGATAATCGATATCTAATCTACTTTCGCATCTTCCATATAGAACGTAGTGGAATACGAAATACATTTAGTGTCAATTATAGGATCTTGCGAACTATACAAGGTTTTAAAAATGACGTTTCGCTAATATGGTTAATAAGTCTAAATTTATTAAGATTCACGTTGGTATGAGTTTTTTTATTTGTTGGGACGTTGGTATGAGTTTAAGTTTATATAAGTTGTGTTTGAATTGTACCAGAGAATGAGTTATAGAAATTTAGTCAACTTGAACCTAATTCAATTAGTTAAAGTATATATCATCAACCAAAAGGTCAGATATTCGAATCCACTTAATACTGCTGAATTTAAGTTCGAAAAAGTATCACTAAAGATGCATGGTAGAGAAAAAAAGCTAGAATGGACGTAAGCAATACATAAAAATGACGTAATATATTATTGGAAAGGAGATTTTGGAGTGAGTGATTTGGTGGAAGGGAAAAGAAAAAAAAAAAAAAAGGAAGTTCTTCACAATCTTTGACCCAATTCCAAAGCAAACAAAATCCCCCACTTCTCTCTCTCTCTCAATATTTTACACAAAATAATAATAATAATAATAATAAATTAAATTAAAATAAAATAATTGTGGATAAGATCAAAAGCTCTCCAATTTTCCACCACAAATCCCTTTATGGTTACATTGAGAGGCTTTCTTCTAGCATTATTGCCCCACCACTTCAACCCCAAGTGCTCCTTTATGATCCCCACGTATTATGTTAAAAAGGTGCAATTTTTTCTATTAATTTTTGTTTTTTTTATGCACCGCTTCTTTTACCTGCGTCACAAATTTATTACAGAACTGAGATTAGTGCACTGTTAAGGGGTGTCGTAGTCTTCTTATATTGAAATTAGGTAGTGTATGTCATATGTGGGAGCTGATAGATAAAATTCTTAATCGAGTTAACGATAGAGTTCCAGTTTTTATAACTATATAATTAGTTTTAGACTTTAATTTTTGTAATTAAAGTTGGTGGGTACAATGGTAACAATCACTATGGTTTAGAAACAGTGTTTTTCTAGCTTAACATAACATGACATCAAAGGACAAATGGTTATGTGTTCAAACTAACACGAGCGTAGCTCAACGATCATTGGAATGTACTCCTTTCATTGAAGTTGGAAGTTCAATTCCCCATATCCCCAAATTGTGTACTAAAACAAAAACCAAAAGGTCCTAGACTGTTCCAAGCTTCAAGCCACTGCAATACAACGTTTTTTTCCAATTATTATAGCTCAGTTGGATCTCAAGGTTTACAGTGATTTTTAACATTTGATCTCGTGCCAATTTCATACCTACTATGAGAAGTCGAACAATATTCTTTAAGATATGGAAAACAAAGGTAAGGGAAATGTCTCGATATTAAAAAAAAAAGCATATTACTTTTTCTTGGAAAATACACAAACACAAAGATCTTATCTTATGCAACTACACAAATTGAAAACACATATGATTATTCTTCTACATTCTTCTTCTAACTTTTTGCAAAAGCATAGCATTTTGGAGGTCCTCCCTAAAATGAACATGGAGGGTGAAGACAATAAGTTTTGGGAGATATCTCAAATCCAATTGGTCAATTTTGCCCCCACGTGATCGAATAGCGTCCCGACACATGGCCATGTATGCCCACTTTACACCATCTAATGGCTTCCCTTTCCTATCTTCTTTTGAGATTTCATTGTGTTTTCAATTGGCCACTTCCAACACTCCATCTCTGTCCTAATGATGGTTCCTCAAACACATTATTGGGATTTAAATAATAATGTGCACTTTTTTAGGGCTTTTCTTTTTCTAATTATCAATTGATTGGATAAAGGGGGAAAAGTAGTGAAATTTTTATTCCTTTTCTTGGGGATGAAATGATTGGTTTTGGGAAGCTTAAAAGAAAGAGAAAAAAAAAAGAAGAAGGCAAAAAGTTTATTCTTAGGTAATGCTACATAGAGAATTTCATCATCCATTTCTCTTTGTTTTTCTTTTTTCTTTTATCTACTTTGTTAAAAAAAAAAAAGAAAAAAAAAAGTATGTGTACGTACTTTATGCTAGAAAATAAATATAATTAAATATTGTGTCGATTAGATAAGATTAGAAGTAACTTAATTTTTTAAATCAAATTGATTTTAGGGGTTGTTCAATCAACGTCTTTTATGCCACGTAGTCTTGTTAATAACTTATACGTCATATCAGCAATATCACTTTCGAGATTAAGATTGAATTTGAAATAATTTTTTTTAGAGCGGTACTTTTAAACTTTTTTTATTTTATTTTATGTGTGGTTTAACTGAATTATTTTTAAATATCATTTTGGTAACTAGGTAAGTAATATTACGAAAATTTTGAAATTTAGTTTTACTTTGCTAAAAAAAACATTTTTTCGGTGTTCCAAATCCATGTTAAACTTATCAAATTCTTAAGACTTTTGATTGAGATTTTAAATTCAAAAGGATGAAAAATAATAAAGTGGATTAAAATTTATGGATAAAAATCAATCTTTAAAAATGCTAAGGAATCAAAATAAAAAATAATAAAAGATAAAACTCACCCCATCAAAAACAATTTTTAATCCCATGTCTTTTCAGAGGTAATATAAAATGTTTTATGGTCTTTTTTCCTTTTCATCATCATGGCCTAACATTCATAAGTCTACTCAAATTTCATTTGAAAAAGAGACCAAGAATTCAACCAAATGAATAGAAAAGTCACTTGAAATTTTAAATATGGTTTGCTTTTTTTTTTTTGCCTTTTATATAATTTTAAAGTTTCAAACCCATCCAAATAATGATAATTCATATTGTTATAGAGAACAAAAACGACCCAAAACAAGACAAGAAATTGAAGCCCGAGATCATCGACTGGGGGAGATCGGCCCGCGACGTAATTGGCCGGTCCAAAGGACGACCTAGCGCAAAGGCCGTCACTGTGCCGAGGGGCCGACCCCACCTTGGCGTCGAGACCTCCTCAGCGCCGAGGCGCCTACTTCTCACCTTCGCCTTCGGACCAAGGTACCATGTGGGCCTCCTCCGCTCAGATCTACTTGAGGAGGATAAACACACCTATTCGAGGTCGAGACCGATCATTGGGCCTTGCAACTTCGAATTAGGGCTCAACTACAGAAAGTTCTGTAACCACCGTCACAGCTATAAATAGTAGTGCAGCCTAACTCTATGGAGGCAAGTGACATATATCTAACTCACTATTTTCTCAACTCTCTCTCGATAACTTAGATATCGGAGTTCGTGTGACTGAGGTTTTGCAGGTATCAGTTCTCTTATCATCGAGTTAGGTGTGGGTCAAAATCCACACATCAACACATACTTTATTTATTTTATTATTATTATTTCTTAAATTTAAAATAATATTTATGTTCTATAATAATTAAAATGTTACGTTAAATTAACTACGGTTTAGAAATCTTAGTCAATTTTTTTTAAAAAAAATCAATTTCAAATATTGTTTTTACTAAAACAAATAAAATTCTTAATTTTAAATAATCATTTCTTCTACTTAACTATGGAGGTTGTTATTATTTCCTATTTTCATCATATAAAAATTCAAAAAAGAAATAAGATTTCTTTTAGAAAAAAAAATTAAAGAAAGAAGATATGTATTCCCTTCTTTTCTTTTCTTTCTTTTTTTTTTTTTGTTTTTTGACATATGAAAATATGTAATAATCTTCAATCAAGAGAAAATGACAATTAAATTTAAAATATTTTTCACATTACCATTCCAACATTTTGCAAAAGTAATCCTTGATTTGGGCTTTGGGCTTATCAAAATCAAGCGATCCAAAAAGTCCAATGGGCTTATCTCTCTAACAAACATGGATTAGTATGTTATGAGTTTATTGAACTAGTTAAGGAACTTTCTCGACCCAACTCAATCATTCGGATTATAAATTTGTCCGACTCAAATTATTTTACTCGAATTTATTTAATTTGTTTGATAATTTTTTCCCAAAACTCCTCTCAAAAAATAGTGAGAGTATACGTCGTCTTGAGGCTCTATTAACTCATTTCCTAGTATTGTAGCTTTTTTGTGTGGCCTCGATCCACGATCAATATGACTAGAGGTGTCTTTATTCACAGAAATATCGATGTCGAAGAGTATTCTCGAAAAAAATCAAAAGAATAAAAAAAATTTATAACATTCGACACTTCTTGAATAAAGTTAAGAACCTTGCTACTAGTATTTTGTTCACATAAGTGATAATCAGTCACCACTGTTTTGTATCTCGTCGACATTCTTATAGTACAGTAGAAATATTGATTAACTTCTTATATCAATATGAAAATATCAACACGTCAATGAACCTTTAACTCAGCCTCTTGAATATCGAGGCGGTAGAGCGGGCGAGGGCGAAGGAGAAGTGAATAAAGTTGCAAAGAGTTTATCAGCCAAGATTGCATTGGCAGCATCAGAGGGATGGAAGGCATCCCAAAACACATACTCACTTCTATTGCTACAAAGTTTTGAGTTGGGCAAACAAAGCCCTCCAATGCTTGTGTCCACATTGCAACAAGAAGTATTGGAAACTTTGAAACCTTGAAAAAATAAAAATAAAAATAAAAATTGGGAAAATAAAAGAAAAAAAAAACTCTAATACATTTTTTTTAGCAATATTTAATCTACATCATACATCATCCATTTGTTAAAAGTAAAATAATAGCAAAGAATAAAAATATTATGTTTTTTAGAAAAAAGATATTTTCAAACTTTAGAAACTAAACGTTGAAGACTGAAACTAGATATTTTAAGAAGTTTAATTAGAAGGCAAAACTTTGGATGACGGAGTAAAATTTAAAACTAATTATTTAGTTAAATGAAAAGTATTTACCTTAGCTTAGCATAATTGACCTATGTCAAATAGTTGTAAAAAAAAAAATTGTTTCATTTTTTTAATCTCCAAATTTTAAAATATCCTATTTTAATTTTTAATTTTCAAACATTCTTGCTTATTTTGTTTTAGTTTCTTAAACTTCACACAAAATGCCAAGTATTTCAATTTTTCTTTTGTCTTTCATAATATCTTTTTGTTGGTTAAAGTAGAAAATTCGAATCTATTTTTAAATTTGACACGTGATTTACACATACTTATCTAAAAAATTGTCAATTAACACGTTAGATCTCCATTAAATAATTAAAAGAGAAAATTAACGACAAAGACTAAAATGATTGTTTACCATAAGCGAACGGATTGGTGATGAGGTCAAGAACAGTCGAGTAGGTGTCTGCAAAAAGAAGTTGTGCATTCGGGAGGTGTTTGTTGAGAGTGGCCGTGAGAGTTTGGACTTTCGAGTTGAACTCTTGAACCCATTGGTTCACTCTCTTTAGGCATTGCCCCTTTCTTGATTTCACTCTTTGTGAAGGGATGCAACCCAATGGCCCTAACCCATGTAGCACCATTTTTCTTGCACCCAATTGGTAAAGTCTCTACAAATTAAACCAAATCACAAGAAATTAGAGTCGAAATTATAGTCGAAGTCTGTTGGATGTGAGAATTTGAACCCCGATCTCAAAAGGAAGAAGTTACATGTCTTTACAGTTGAGCTATACTCATGGTGACAAAATTTCTGTAATTAATTAATTAACACAATATACCTAGCACTGTATTAAATGTTTAAGATGACCCATAATTAAGATGATGTATTTCAGATCGAGAGGTTAGATCGATATTTAAGTCCTTATATTTTGAATTTTGCTTCAATTTGATGGGTATAGTTTTAAAAGTTTCAGTCTATAATGAATGTAGTTTAGTTGAATTTCTCAAAAACATCTTATTGTTATTAGATATTTACAATTTTCTTACATCATATTGAAAGGTATGTGTGTAAAGGTTGAATTAAACTTACTATATTAGAGTTTTGTTTAGGGTAAAAAAAATTGAGGGAAAAATTAGATGGGTTTTGGCCTACAAGTATGCAAATTTTACCTTCTAACTTTAGATGTATACATATGATTTTTCGATTCTAGAGGAGATGTAGCGAATTGGAGAAAAAAATTTTAACAATTTTATTTTTCTTGGTTTTTTTTTTTTTTTTTTTTGAAGATATTGAATCTAAAATTTTATATAAGAATTAGGGAATCTTTGATCAATATATTAGTGTTGATTCATTCAATAAATTCTATACTTAAACCAATGGAGCAAGATTTTTGACATCATATTTCATTTGTAACTGTTCATTAATAGTTTGCCAAAAAAAGATTCAATAATAATTATTGAGTTCCATATTCATAGGAAAAAAAATAAAATAGTTACTATTTTAAATTAAGTAATTTATTCTAGTTTCTTTTTGAAAGTCCCTTTTGTTAAAGCAATAAAGTTATTCCTTAATTCCACGAGAGGGAAAAACACATCTTCTTGAAGATGAAAATTCTCAACAAACTTTATGTTTTGCTTTTTAGTTTGATAATTAAAAATGTTTCAGATGTTGCTCCAGCTAATTGTATGGCCATGGATAAATATTTATTGGTCCGAGTATTTTTTTTCTCAATTTTACTATCAAGATATATATCAATTTTTTTTCTCAAAAAAATTTACATTTTTTATGTTTTAAAATTTGGTCTCCAATACTTTAAAATTTGAAAGTGAAAAATCTCCAACTTTATGTTTTATGTTTTGAATAACAAAATGGCTAAATAGGTTATTGGATGACCTATTTTTCAATTTCGGTATCCAATATTCTAAAAGTGTTGATTTTACCTTTAATCAATTTGTTAAATTTTATCAAACGAATAGTGACGTGACATTTAAAACGTTGAATATCTAACCTATTTAGATAGAAGACCTAATTCTAATTTTAAAATTCAAGAGGATTCTAATTGATTTTTTTTTCAAGTACAATTCTAATTGAAATTTTTAGTCAATTGGGCTAAAATTGATATTTAACACTAAAAAAAATAGGCATATTTTACAATATTACATGCATAAATAAAGATGTTAATACATTGACTATTCATTTTATGAACGTTTGAATTCAAACAGGTCAACATATGCATGTTAATTTGAACATAGTCCAATTGGTTAAGACATATATCATCGACCAAATAGTCGAAAGATTCAAACCCTCACTCCCACATTAGCAGTATATATTTAAACCTACAACTTATAATTAAGGAAGGTTACGAATAACATGAAAATTATCTTTTGTTTTTTAAGTTCAACAACTGCAAAAGTAGGGGATTGAACCATCGACTTTTGAAATGATAATATTCACCATATCCACTTGCTATGCTCGAATTGGCAAATAAGTTTTCATTTAAAAAGGTATTTACGTTGATATTAAAAGAATGCTAGTTCGTAATTACGATTCATTTGCTCAAGTTTAACTTCATTGTTAGAAAAATATGTATCTACGTTCCAAAGATAAAGTCAAAACTCATTAAATACCAATGACGACATCACTAATTTCTAAATTGTCAGCCTAATCATATTTCAACTGATTGAGATATTAGTAATATCTTTTGGAAGTTAAAGGTTCGAATCATGCACACTACTTCGGTTCTTCCGTTCCAATTTGAACTCGAAGAAAAAACTAAATATTTAACTTGAAAAAAAAGAGTTGTAAAGACTTTAGAAATAGGGCTCACCAAAAGTTGGTGGTCCAAAGTGGAGACCAAGAGCTCCAAGAACTCATCATGAGTGTACTGCTGCCCATCGGCCAGAAACGGCTGCAAGAAGTTGTTCACATAGTCATTGCTACCTACACAAACCAAATATTTCCTCTTAGACATTTCATCAAACACATTGAGATCACCACACAATTTCTCCCACTTTACCAATTCCTATGAAATACATGGCTTCATTGCAATGTTTCTTAGCTGCCTCCTCTCCTATCTTCCCTCTTATCGCCCTCTTCGTCTTGTTGAAGCTCTGGATTTGATCGTCGAACGAGAGTCTTTGGATCTGAAAAGGCTTTGTCTCTATGAGTAAATGTGTAGATGGTTAAATTTTTTTAAGTGTTTTTGGAGAAATTTATATCTTACGAAGTAGAGTCCGGTGTCGTTGAGAATTCCGGCTCCCCCGGAAGCGTAGTTGACGCCTTGGAGGAGTCTATCGTCGTCTTGAGATAGTGATAGGTACGGAGGTGGTGGGGGAATCCCTAGCTTTGAAGCTGCAAATTTTGCCAAAACATGCATAAACTTTATAGACTCGACAATGTGGTTTGATATAGTATTAGAACAGGGTGTGTGGTTGATATTTATAAATCGTTCTCGTGTTGAGTTTCGTGAATCAAATTTAATATCCTATTAAATAAACATACCATAATTACCTAATAACTTAGTAGTTTCACAGAGTAGAATCTAAAAAAGTAAGATCGTGCATATGAGTACGTTTTACCTTGAAATAGACAACATCGAAACCATTATACAGATATAAAGAGACATGTCAGTCTAATAGTCAGACATACATACATATTATATCTCCGATAGTTCTTCCATTCGAGAATCTCCCAGTTGCTCGGCCACCATTGTAATCGACCCCATACCAAGGATAGTTAGACCTTGCAAGTGAGTTGAGATAGTTGTTGTTTCCAACATCAGTTAGTGAGTCTCCAAACACATAGGTGACCACATGGGATGCTTCCTCAGAAAATCCAAAAAACATCAAAATAACAACAACCATAAAAGAAGAGACAAAACAATAATAATTGCCATGGCTTCTCATGGCTATGTTGATGTCTAATTTTCTGTGGTGTGTGATTCAATTTAATTTGCAGAGGGTTAAGAGAAATAATAAAGTATTTATATATATATAAGGATAAATTTGGCATATGATCTTTTGGGTCTTGCCCAATTGTTCAAGATTTCTTTGTTAGGTGTTGGATTTTCAAACCTATTTGAAGGGTTTAGAATATTGGCTAAGTTGTTGAATCTCTCTTCTTTCAAGTTGGTCAACTGACCCATCAAATGTTAGTTTTTGTTAGGTTTTTTCCCTTCATTTTGCCTCCTTTTTTACTGCAAATCAACGACGTTTGTTACTCATAATGTTTTGTAAGTATTTTTAAATGAACGATATTTTGGTATTGATTGATTGATACTTGTCTTTTGTTGACTACCATTGAATTACTTTAGATGAGTAAAAAAGAGAGAAAATGTAAAAAGAACGGTCAAATTTTGAGTGCAACCAAACACAAAAAAAGAAAATACTTGGCTCTTTTAACGGTAAGGAGCAACCTTGTCTTCACCACCATTAAATGTCTGACAACCAAGAGAGAAATGTAAAAACATATAGTTTTTTTTTAAAAAAATAGATAGGTTAACCACTCAACCGTTCAAGTATTTTTCCCCCCAATTTTTTTAATAATAATATAGTCATCCTATTTAGCAATAAATATAATATAATTTATTGTTTTTTTAGTACAAATTTAATTTATAGTTGAACTATCCCTCTCTTTTTGTCCCGTTTAAATTAAAGAAAATTTGATATATAAGAAAATATTTGGAAAATTAAACCAAGTCATAAGAAATATTATAGGGACTCAATTGAAATAAAGTTAAAATCATGATTAAGAATGAAAATGGTAATTTAATTTTAAACTATACTATTACAAAAACTAGAAATAACAACACTTAAATTGTACCAACAACACTTATAATAAAAGAAAGGCAAGAAATTTTTTTCAAAAGAAAGGCAAAGAAATTTGTTTCTTTCCTTCTTTTTATATTTGGGCCTCCAAATTTTTAAACATTTTATTTTAATCTCTTTTTTTAACTTTCAAAATATTTTGTTTCAGTCTCTTAATATTCAAATATTTTGTGAAAATTTTCTCTAAACTTTTTATTAAAAAATTTATTTTAATCGTTGTCGTCAATTTTTAATAAAGAAACCGAAAATATATTTAGAAATATGACATTTGATGAGTTGAAAGTTCAAAAATTTATCTATATAAACATGTATTTTAGGAGTATTAACATAAATAGTATAAAATAAATAAAGTATGTATTTATGCCAACTTTCTATTAAATAATTTTAAAATAATTAACCGAATTCTTAAAAGAAGGTTCTTTCAATTATGGAGCTTGCACGTGAACGCCACTGTTTTGATTAAAAAAAGCTTATTATTATTATTATTATTATTGTTATTATTCCTGATTTTCTTTTTAAAAAAATAATTAATTCTGTTTTTAGTTTCTATTACTTTTATTGAGAATCAAATACTTTTCTTCTAGACAACTGGAACCTATCTTACCTCACACAAACGACCACTATTTTATATTCCAAAGTCCAACTAAAGAAAAGACAAGAAAAAAGGATTTTAAAATTTTAAATAATATCTTATCAAGAACCTCGGCCCGATATAGCAAAAAGAATTAATAGTTAATTACAAGTATAGCAACAACTTTTCAAATTTATAAATATAGAGGAGAAAGAAAAGAGAGATCTAGCCCAAACGAAATAAATAAAAAAGTTATTTATACCCGTCAAACATGTGATCTTCTGAAAATGATAAAAACCATCGCGTTGATATACCTAAAGTATATTAATTAGTTATTTATGTATATTAGATATACTCATTATATATTTAAAATGAAATATATGACTTACGTATCTAATGGAATTGATATGTTTTATATTAAGTATATCAATTATTATTTTGTATTAGATGTATCAATTGGCACATCCGAAATGAAATATATTTGATATGTTAATAAAAAACATGTCATGTTACTTAAATCGAAATCTTCAGTTTGAAGAAGATTTGTCAATGATATATCTAATATAAATTATATCATTTATATATGTGTGACTAATAATATCAGTTATATAATTAAAATTAATTATATCCTGGGTACTGATTTTTTTTTCTCAATTTTAACAAATAACAAGTGCAAAATTAGAATACCAAAAAAACAAAAAAAAAATTTTAATTGTCATATTTGTAAAATCAAAAATTCTATTTCCAAATATGGCAAATTAAATGCGGTTGTTGCCTGTTCAAAATACCAAAATATATATATATATATATATATATATATATATATATTTTGTTTGAGTTCTTAAAACCATCTCACATTTTATTCTAATTTCTAAAATTACGTGAGTTGATCTAATAACATTAGAATTTGTGAAAATATACAAATGAATTTTGGAGAATATTTTTCAAATTTGATCGTGGTCACACAAATGTTGTAGGGTCAGACAATTGTCTCATAAAATACTTTTTTTTTCTTGAGTAAAGTCTCATAAGATACTTTATTCTTTATGTGACGTGTTTTTTAATGAGACGTGGTAGCGATAAGCTGACTTTTTAACATGAGGTAGGATTGTCTTAAGCTAAATTTTAGGATGAAAATGAATCATGTTAACAAAATTTAACTAATAATTTTTTATGCAAAGTTTAAAGACTAAAATTTAATATTCAAAAGTGATGAAATTAGTACATAATGTTTAATGTAGGATTTCCAAAACGAGCATAGCTGAATGGTAATTGACATATATCTCTAAAGAGTTCGATCCTCCACCCCACATAGAAACTTAGTATTTTAAAATTAAAAAAAATCTAAATGAATAATACTATGTAAAAAATAGAATGTGAATTTTTTTTTAATGTTTATATTACATCTAATTTCTCTTTTTTTTTCAAGCATTACATTACAGTTGAGGAGGAACAATGTAAAAACCATTAAATACTTGATTATTAGAATCTAGTTTAATTTAGATTAGTTTTAAATTTTCCATGCTTCTATTTTTTAGTACTTTAAATTTTCCACTATATTTAAGAAAAGTTAATTTTTGACTAGACATAAAATTATTGATCTATAATCCACGATGATATTACTTATACACTAAGATATTTTAAATTATTAAATTATATTCTATTATCACTCTGGATGGATCAAATTTTGGTTGTAAAATTCAAATGGGCGTTTCATCTTTATCCCAAAAAAAAAAAAGTTTAATTTACTTTGACTATTTTGTTCTAGAAAGGCTTTAGGCTTTTTCATAACAATAATGAGATCATAATTTTAAAACAAGAAATGTAATGAAACCAAAAATAATTAATCACTATGCTTTTTTTTGGTCTAATAATTGATTGGATATTAATGCCTCTTAAATATTCTTTTTTTATTTAGTTAAATGCAGTATGGAAATTCCAACTTTTAATACCCCTAAAATATTATAATATTTTAATTAATCGAACTCGAGATTGTCATGCATCTTAGATATTTACTTTGGAGTAAGCGGTTAATTGTCGATCTAAGCAAGTTTAAATAAGTAATAGCATGATTTAGAAATAACCAACCAAAATGAACCTTAAGAAGAAAGGAATTTCAACTGATATTTTTTGTGGTTTGTGTAGAGAAAAGAAGAGATGGTGGAGCACTTTTATGGGAATGTAAGGTAACTAGGAATATTTGGAGTAAATTTCTTCCTACTTACTATGCTCATTTTGGTGTTAACAGGGTTCATTGGACGAACAAGGACAGTTGGAACTGGTTGGTGAACATGCTTTCAGATGAAGAGGTGGCTACCAGCATGGTTATTGCTTGGCAGATATGGGAAAGCAGAAACAGAAGCATCTTTAGAGGAGAAACAATTGATGAACAACAACTAGACCGATCAATAGTCTTGTTCATAAATTCCAACATAGATAAAGGCACATGCATATCCCAAACGAGAAGGAGCCAACAAAATGATGGGTACCTGCCACGAGGAAGGGAGAATCTCAACATGCTTGGCGTTCGGTGGAGTGCTCCCCCTACCAATTGCTGGAAACTCAATACAGATGCATCGTGGAGTGAGGAGCGCGAAGTAGGTGGCATAGGGTGGATTCTTTGTGACTGTAGGGGGGAGATTGTTTTGGCTGGAAACTGCAAAATCAGGGAGAAGAAGGAAATCAACGCCCTAGAACTAATGACGATAATTCGAGGACTCCAATTCATCAACATGCAAAGTAGAAGTCCAATTTACCTTGAATCAGATTCAGTCGAAGTAATTCGATTAATGAAGAAGGAGGACGTCGATCTAACATAAAATATTTGGCTTGTTGAGGAAGGTGTGGAATTAGCGGAAGCGAGAGGAATTGTTTCGATCGCCCACATCAACAGATGGAAGAATTCAGTGGCCCACGACTTGGCGAGGAGAGCGACCCACAACGATGGGGAAGAAGGATGGATTTCTAACTTTCCTGCTTAGATTCAGGATGTAGTTGCAAGTGACTTTTCTTTGTTTTAGTTTTATTTTAGGCTTTTTTCAAAAAAAAATCAACAAAAAAAAGTCAAACTAGTATACATAACTGAGTCATAGCTTAGCCAATGTGAAAGTTGGAAAGCCAATTTACTCTCGGTCAGTTGTAGTCTTTCAAGGTGCAATTGCGAAGCTACCGTAATCTAAATGAATCCAAGTGCTTGTAATTCGACCTAAATAAGATTGGACTTTTACCCGAGACGTTTAACGTATGTCCAAAAGGCTCGAAGGGGACAAATCACATTAGTTTGTCATGTTGTGGCAAATAACGTAATATGGAATGTGATCCATGTAGGAAGGATGTCACCAATGGCATGTTGTCATGCCCTACAATATTAATACAAAATGGTCACATCGTGATCATTCATCTCTACGACATTGCACCTCATCTACAATCTTGTCAAGTTGTCGGTGACGTCTTAATAACTCACAATTGCAATTGTGACTAGTGCATGCTCAATATGGTAATACTTTACTAGTTGGCCAACGTCCTAGCAATAATCGGTGTTTCGTGCCTTAGGCTACCTACGATTATTAGAAAATAATATTTAGATCTTTTTTTTCCTTTTATATATAAGAGAATGAAGAAGAGATAACATATAAATCTCTAGTGTATCAAAACTCTATCAAACTCAAGATTCAAACTAACGTAAGCAAGAGATTGTATTTTGCATCTTTGTTGTACAAGTATTATTCGACATTCATTCACACCTTTCAAAGATTTCTACCTCCAATAACGCTAACATACAATTGATCAACTTAGTCACCTATTCAACCAAAATCACATAACAACACTGATCGCCATACAATTGATTAACCATAGATTTTCGACATCGCTATAACAATATATTGTTTCTAGAAATACAATATAGTCAAAGTTCATTTTTATTAGAATAAATTTAAATAGTGTGAATTGACCAAGCAAGATATCAAACCAATGGGAATTTATAACAATGCATTGTGTTTTCAGCTTTTGTTGGTATATCTTAAAAAAAAAAAAACCTCAAATTCCACATTGTCATTTGTCTTAATTTATTATATATATATCTCGACACACATACATACACACAAATCCATCTTTGAATCCTATTTTCATAACATTCAAAGTCATAACAATACAAAAATCCATCTTTGAATCCTATTTTCATAAAATTCAAAGTCATAACAATAATATAGATATTTGAATTTTATTATATTGTGTATATATATGATTGAGTCATGACACATAAAAGAGAGAATTAAATGGACAAAATCTTTTGTCAAAAATAAAAAAAAGCTAAATCTCGTAAAAAAAAAAAAAAAGAGGAGGACTAAATCAAGCTCATTTCCAAAGTTAATTTTTAAATGAGACTTTTGATTTATTTGGGTTAGTTAATTTTGAATCAGAAAGGGTGAATTTCATTGATTTTTTTGGTAAAAAAAATATACGAGGTCGAGATTCGAATGCACGACATTTTGATTTGAGATATATATCTTAACCATGGGGTTTAAAAGGGTTGTTTAATTCAATTTTTTTAATTTTCCATCAACATATTTTGTTTTTAATGTTATTAAAAAAAGGAAAAAAAAAAGATCCCATAATCATGTTAAAGTTGATTGAAATAAATAAATAAATCATGTAGAATTAGCTCTAAAATTATATGCAATTTTAAGGGATAGTTACGGAATCAAGATAAAATATTATAAAAGTAGCAAGAAAATAATTACAAATATAACGAAAATAAAATTTACATCACTCAACAATTACCATAATTATAGTTGACTAATAATAAGCATGATTATAATTATTAAATACATATTTTTAAATAAAATATTAAATATTTAAATCAATTATGTATCATTTAAATCAATAATTATCATCCACGATAAAAATATATTGATTACTATTTATTAAAGAATAATTGGAAGAGCTGAATCGCTAACATGAGCATAACTTTAGCTGTTAAGGCATCTTATAGACTCCAAAATTTAACTATTAAGATAATGAATATTTGATAAACATGTTAAAACATAAATTATTCATCAAGTGGGATAAACTATTTTTAATATATATATAACGAGTATGACTCAGTGATGTTTTTTTAAAAATATATACTAATGATGTTAATTCCGTAAGATAATGGGAGTTAATATAAATATTAATAAATTTATATCCTAAGTAAATAAATAAATAAATAAATAAATAATGTTGAGGCCGAGAGAATAGAAAGAATTAAATTCTGCGTGTTTTTAGTATTGAAATTGAAATAATGTGAGGAAGAAGAAGAAGAAAAGAAGAAAAGAAGAGAAAAGACAAAGAAAAGAAAAAGAAAAAGAAGACGGCTTTGCTTTGAGAATTTTACTGTACACGAAAACCACAAATCACAGAGAAGACGAACAACAATCCAAAGATTGACAGACAGATTCAGATTGTAGAAGACGACGATTCAGTACAGCAAAAAACATCTCTCTCTCTATCTCTCTTCCCTTCAAATCCCGAATTTCAAAGCCATAGCTGAAAAAAGCTTCCACTACTCTGAGTCTGAGCTCACAATCGCAGCAATTTCTTCTTCTTCACCTCAGTTTCCTCTGTTTCTCTGTGTTCCTGCGATACCCATTTGGATTTCAATTTCAATTTCTCTCCAATGTCCTTCTCCTGCGGAATCGAGTGCGTCGTCGTGTTGGGTTGCTTGCGCTGGGCATGGAAGCGCTGCACTTACATCGGCTCCTACGACAGCGTCTCATGGCCCCCCGCCACTGTCGACGATTTCGAGTCCGTCCCTCGAATCTGCCGCTTGGTCCTCGCCGTCTACGAATCCGATCTTCAGAACCCCCAATTCCTCCCCTCTGGGGGCTACCGCCCCAACCCCCAATGGCTCATCAAGCGCGTCACTTACGAGCAGACACTGGGTAGGGCTCCGCCCTACATAATCTACGTCGACCACGACCATCGCGAGATTGTTCTCGCCATTCGCGGTCTTAATCTGGTGAAGGAGAGTGATTACAAGCTGTTGCTGGATAATCGATTGGGGATGCAGATGTTCGATGGTGGGTTTGTTCATCACGGCCTTTTGAAATCTGCCATTTGGTTGCTGAATCAGGAGTCCGAGACGCTGCAACGCCTCTGGGTTGAGAATGGATCGGATTATAATATGGTTTTTGCGGGTCATTCTTTGGGGTCTGGTGTGGCGGCGTTGCTCACTGTGGTTGTGGTTAATCATCGGAATCGATTGGGGGGGATTCCGAGGAGTAAGGTCCGGTGCTATGCGCTGGCGCCGGCGAGGTGTATGTCGCTTAATTTGGCCGTCAAGTATGCGGATGTGATTAATTCAGTGATTTTGCAGGTATCGACTGATTTATGCAGGCAATTTTGATTGCTCAATAGTGATTTTATTTTTGACACGTCTGTTGCAGATTTTTTCAGCATTCTTTCACAGTTTGGGTTTTCTGATCTTCATTTTGTTCATTCTAATGCTTGCTCCAACTTGGGATTTCAGCTAATGATCCCATAACCTTCTAAGAATTAGTGGTGCTTAATTTATCAGTTCTATCAATTAACTTTGAGATTTGATATTCTTAAGCTTGTGGTGTCGTCCTTCTGTCCCTGACATTTTCTGTTATTCGTCGGCGATATAATTCAGTTCTATTAGATCAATGTTGGTTTAAATTGGTGTGTGTTTGTTGCTCCTATCCAGGATGATTTCTTACCAAGAACTGCCACACCCTTGGAAGATATATTCAAGTCAATCTTTTGGTATGTGCTATTCTTGGGTTGACTTTTTTGGATCTATGACACGATCTCTTCTTTCTAGAACTAGCGCAATAAAATTGCTATTAATATCTCTTAAACCAGGCCTTGATGCTTTGGACAGTTTGCCTTGCCTATTATTTATGGTTTGCCTGAGGGATACCTTCATACCTGAGGGTCGAAAACTGCGGGATCAAAGAAGACTATATGCACCTGGAAGAATGTATCATGTTGTTGAAAGAAAATTTTGCAGGTATAGGCCACTTTAACTGTTCTCCTTAATTCGGTTAGAATAATTTTCTATTTGTTTGGTTGAATTTTGAGAGTTCGGTATACACATATTAGTTGCCTTACAAACTGAACAAGTTTATGCCACTTGCCTGAATTTCAATCATTTTTATTTTTTACATGCACTACAGCCAACATCATAAATCAAGCACTATCTTCTAAAACATCATAAAGTTAAGTTCTGGTCCTTTGTAACTTCAATTTCTATTTTCACATTTGCAACAAGACAGTGTTTGGCCTTTACACTGTAAGTTAAGCTTGTTTTCACTGTGGTGTTCCCTCTTGTACGTTGTTTCTTTTTTCTTTTATGACTTGGAAGCAGAGGGTTGGAACCTGATTATATATTTAGCCAAAATACAGGCCTGAGACCCCACAGTTTGTAAAAGCCAATGTGAAAGCATAGTATAAGTTGGGGCCATGAGCAAATAATCTTTTTATTTGAGTTCTGGTTGATGATATACTCTCAAAAAATCTGTACTCAACTTCAATTTACTTGCCTTCATGATTATCCAGAGATTTGACAGCCTTTACATCATTATCATTTAAATGTGTTGTTGGAAGTCACTTGTGATCCGTTATCGTCTTTCTGATTGTAATTCTTCCTCCTTCTGTTACATCTCTTATTTGTATTTATGATTTCACTCCTTGCATCCCAGATGTGGGAGGTTTCCTCCTGAAGTTAGAACTGCTATTCCCGTCGATGGAAGATTTGAACATATTGTCTTGTCGTGTAATGCCACATCTGATCATGGGATTATATGGATTGAAAAAGAAGCAGGGAAGGCCTTGGAAGTAAGTAGAAACTTTGTTACGTTTCTTAACCGATGACTCTGTGTTTCTCATATCTGTGCAGTAAAATCTTGTGTTATCCTCTCTCTCTCTCTATCTCTCATTTTCTTTGTGGAAATAAACTAGTGAAAGGATTCAAGGAGTGGTGAAAGGAGTACAGAAGGAGGAAGAATAGGAATGTTTTGGCAGTATAGTCTGGTCTAGCCTTTTGTATATTTGTGTTGGAATGGAATTTTCTTTTTGATAGAAAACCATGATTTTCTTCCAGAGAGTAATGGGGGAGGGGAAGGCACCTTAGTTAAAGAATTAAAGAATTGCTCTCAACTTCATAAAAGAAAAAAGATACTTGTGAAAGCATTTGTGTAGGGCGCTCCATGAGAAAGCATTACTTGAGATATATCACAAAAATAATTTCTCTCCCTGTAACTCCAAAAATTCTCCTGTATCTCTCAAGCTACAACCTCCCGTATGAGGTTTCTTTTTTTATCCATTATTTACAGTGATCTTACCTCCATGGAAAAGGGGGAAGATAAAAACTTCATCTTTTTGAATTTTGGGTATTTGTTCTTCCATATCATTTACCAATTTCCTTCTATAGTAGTTTTCAGGGTCCAGTCTTTATCTCATCTATTCTCATAAGGCTTGTATAAGCAATTGTAGCTCTGACCATCCTTCCGTTTCTCTATGAAACATACCTTGCAGAAATCTTGAAGGGTCATTACTGTCGTGGTTCCAAGTTTCCTACAGCCATGGCACACTGCCAAAGCTACTAGAACAAGATAATTTTCTTTGTATTTAAATTGACAAATGAAATACAAGTTTCCAAACTGTTCAGCTCAAGAGGCCCAACAACTCCCTATAACTACTCTCGAAATTCTACTTGATTCCCACTTCCTAAGTCCATACTATATATACAACCACTCAACTCTAACATGCTTATGAACTAATTACCATTATAACTCCCACATTACCGTGCTCCAACCAAAATATACTATGTGCTCTAGGTGTGTGTTACAGCTCAGGCACAACGACGCAATTATCAAGGGTGCTCTCTACCACTGAGCTAATAGCCCGTCGTGCGGGCCTCCCACTGGGGGCCCGCTATGCCAAAAGTGAGAGAAATCTCATCCCGTTCTGTAGGTTGTACAATTGTGTCTATGAGTTCTAAGGTATGAGGTGTAATCACTCAAATTGGATAGAGTTGAGTTTTGGACAAGGTATAACTAATGTAGCAAGTTTTTGTTTTTATATTTATTTATTCTTTTGATAGTTTTTGTTTTTTTGTTTTTTTTTGGAAGAGTTTGCGTAGATTCTATGGCCACAAAATAGTAAGCTCTCCAACATAGTTTGCTTTTCCTACATATTCTTATGACTTTCTTGGCCCCTTTGCAAGAGACTTAGCTGTGGGTATACTTGCAGTTGCAACCATGCTTCTCTTGTTACAGCTGAAATACTGGGTGCTGGAAGTTCCAAAAAAAGATAAATAAAATAAAATACTGGGTGCTGGTTCCATGGCAGCCATAATACACATCACCCAAAAGTCTACCTTACTCCGATATTTTCTCAAATCAACAAAAAGCTCAAAGAATCCCAAATGTTCTGAGTGGTAACTTATTAGCTTTAGCAGGCATCTCAATTAATATTTTAAGGCTATCACTATCACTGATGATGCATGGATGAACTTTTGGATATATAATGAGCACACCTGATCCAGAAAATCTAACTATTTCTTTTTGACTGTGCGACAATATGTTGATCTCGAAAACCTTAACCAAAAGTAGACTGGACCCACTGGTATATTGATAGATAGCAAGCAATAGGACCCATGAGTTACCCAGCATGAGCGTTTATAGGTCCTACCGTCAGATAGTGGGTCTTCGGTTAGCACTCATGGCTCATGGTCTTCAAATCGATCATTGGTACCAAGGAATGCAAATAGTTGAAGGCATTCAAGAAAGATCCCCTCCATGAGTGCATGCAAACCTAAAAACAAGACTTGGTTTCCCTTCCACTACGACCTGTGGGTTATGGCGACTTTGCCATGATCTAATAACAATTTTCCTAGCACATAGAAGTAGGAAGCTTGTAAAAGATTTGTTCCCGCAGGCCTCATCGAGGGGAGCTCATCCATCCTTCATGGCATTTGTGAGAAGTTCCTCGCTTGAATCAGTTACAAGCCCCATTCATCATAGATAACACTCACTCTCCCTGCAATTAATGCGTAGGCTTTAGTGACAACGTATAATATCGCCAAGGGGCCTTCCCATCTACTACATGACCTTCTGTCCATATGCCCTCAAAAGTGACTAACTCCATTGAGAAACTCTTTAGATATTTCCTATGTAAAGGGGCAAAGATAAAAGGAGGTTGGGCTTGGCATTGGTAATTTTCCAAATCCAGCGGTAGGAAATAGAGAGGATATTTCTTTCATGGAAAGCTGTAACATGTTTTCTTCCAGAATATTTGGAAAAATGTAGGCAACAACAACAGTATAAAAGGATTTTGGGAAGACCCTTGGAAGGTTTCCTCCCTCACTTCATTCTCTCTCCAATAGCAGGAACCGCATCATCAACCAACAGTGGAGTGGAGCACCTCCCACGTGGGAAGGAGCATCAATCTTAGAAGAAATCTGAATGTCTTAAGAGGTGCTAGAATGGATCTTCCTCACCCACATCCTGGCTAATCCCTCTCTTTGAAATCTGGAATGCAGTTGGTCTTGGAATGTGATAGGAATGGCCCTTAGGGGTAATTAGGATTATTAATAGAATAGTAAGGGTATATTCATAATTAGTTAAGGAAGTTGTTAGGGGGATTTGTTATAAATTGAGGGAGTGAGAAATGAGGAAGGAAGCATTGACTTTGTGGTTTAGGCTTGAGTGACATCTCAAGGGAGGGGAAGATCCAACTACCTCTAATATTTGGGATTGGGATTATATTGTAGTTCTTCTATCCTTTATATTTCAATACATTCTGGGTTCTATCAGAATGATTACAGATTGGGCTCCTTCACTGGTAAATATTTGTTCCTTTATCTCAACAATGATCTCTCCTGTCTTGGCGTGTTTATGCAAAGCCATATGGAAAGGCCTTGACCCAAAAAAAGATTAAAATAAATGGTCTTATGTGGGAACTTTTATTTGGCATCATCAGCACTCGAGACAAGATCCAAAGAGGATGCCAATTGCCAACGCTTCGAATTTCTGGAAAACTGTCTTTAGCACTTCCAATTGGGCTATTCCTCCTCCAAACTACATCATAGGCAAGTAGGCTAAGTTGAAGTTTGATGGTGAATGCTTCTGTTGGAATGGAATTGAAATTATGTGAAGGAAAAAGTAAAAGATGCACAAGATGTTGAAATTACGTGGAATAAACTGAAGTTCTAATCAATCTTGTTCTCTGTTATACATTATATAACTAGGTGGCCTAACGTAGAATTCCTTGATTATGTTTCTTTTGAGGCATTATTTTGCTGGAACACCTCTTTATACTGACAGTCATATGTTAAGATTTGTATCAGCTGTGTGCTATTTTGCATATTTTCTTTACATAATTTGACAAGAATCACACTCGTCAGTTAATGAAAGAAACCTCTGATAGTACGTCCACAACTGCACCAAAAATACCAAGGTTTGAGAGGAAGAAAACCCTTGATAAAGAGCACAAAGATGCTTTGGACAGAGCTGTTAGTCTGAATGTTCCTCATGCAGTCGACCCGATGGAGGAGGAGAATTCTCGTCACGAGGGTGAAACAGAAGAGCCCTCTTCAAGTCAAAGTGGAGACTCCTCAACAAAGATGAAACCCACTTCTGGCCGGACAAACTGGGATGATGTGGTCGGAAAGCTATTTCATCAGAATGAATCGGGAGACCTGCATCTCAGAAAAGAAGCAGCAACAGTAGAAGATAATGTCCCTCAGTCTCAATAACATTGTTGCTTCATTCTTCTACGTTCAAGTCAGTTCGAGGTTAGATTTCCATATGCATATCCCATCTGTTGTGAGTATGAGTATAGGATCATATTCTTCATGTGTTTTGAATTTTTTTTTTTTTTTTGGTCTGTAAAATAGTCATGATTTATACAATTGGGCAGTTTAGTTTGCCTTCAGCGTGAATAACAATTATGAAGATGAGAAGGGAAAGAAATGGCTGTCCTCTTGTGCTGAGAACATTCATCAAAATTGCGGTTGATATGGTGTGTATTATTTTGGTTGTCTTCTAGCGATCAATTGATGTCTTATTGATGATTTTATTGATTTCCTTTCTTACCCACTTCTATTCAGGCAATTATCACAGCTGCATTTGAATTTGGTGGATGGAAGTATGTTTTTTCTTTTAATAAAAACCGAACCGAACTTTCATTGAGAAGAATGAAATAATACAAAAGGGCATAAAAAAAAAAGTCCAACCGAACTAAAAAAACAGACTCCACTCTAGCCAGATCAAATCTAACGAGTAATTACGAAAGGCTTTGGACCCACTTAAATGGGAGTATGTTTCATAAGAAACATATTCAAATGGAAATCGTGCCAGGAGTGGGAAATGGAATTATACACATTTTAGGTACTTTTTTATTCCCATTCAAGTGTTCTTCAAATATAGTAAAAAGAATGAAAGCTAGGCAGACAAGTACAGGATGGACAAAATGCACATACAAATTGGCATGATCCTCTCCCTCTCTTTCGCTAGTTGTGCGACTTTTTTTAGTACAGAACTTTAATATCATAAAAGATTGAGTAGTTTTGGTATTCATGTAATGTAACATCCAAAAAATGCTTTCAAATTATATATTAAGCCAACCTCCCAAGGAAGAAACTATTAACATTACTAACATTGATGACTAAATCAATGTTATTAATATTGAAGTAATCAATGTTATTAATATTGAAGTTGTACTTTCGACATGTCACCAAAATATTCACTAATCATTTTATAGCTTTAAAAAATAACAGTGCTACTCTAAGCATAGCTCAATTAGTTTAAACATTTATCTTCAACTAAAATATTGTGAATTCAAATCCTTGCCCCTATTATGTTATACTCAGAAAAAAATGTAAAGTTTCCATTATTATAAGTTTAGTCAGAAATTTTAAAAGTTGTGTTTAAAAGATCCCTAAACTCTTTCAAATTGCATTAGACCTGAGGATAGAGGAGCAAATGCCAAATGATAAATAATTATGTTCATAAAAATTATTATATTTATAATTATTTTTTAAAGTGTAGTATATGATAACATATTTTTTTGTAAATATTTAGAAAATAAAACTCTGTTGGAACTTTCCTGTGGCTTTCAACTGATCAAAATGAATTAATAACACTCCAAAAAATGTAAAGCATCACAGCACAATGTCGAGCAAATATATATTGATCAAGCCAATCACCCATTTCACGTAGCAAAAATCTTATACAGCACAATGCATGATAGCTTTTAATTAGACTGATTTAACACAAGTTCAACATCTTTGGGGAGGAGATAAGAGAATGATCGGGGTCGGGGTCGGGAGAAAGGAGAGCTCGAGAGGAAGAAAAATTGGGAAGGATGATTTGATATTCTTGAGACCAGTGTTAAAAGAGAGCAAGCAAATATGTCCCATAAATACAAAGATACCCCTATTTTAAACAACATTATAACGACAACTAAACTCATTATCCTTTGTACATATTTGAGAGGCTTGCAGTTGCAGACATCTTGGTTTGCTTCAGTTCGGGATCAACCGAAAAGGTAAAAGTTTCGATAAGCAAGGGTCAAACAGCATCATCTCCATTAACAGGCAAATACAATCTAGCCCTACTGAACAGGAAAACAAAGCATGGAAACTATTGCTGATAACAAAATAATCACCCAGAGAATGTATAACATTTTCTAACAGCTAACATAAGTGGTTAATCAGACCATACTTCGGTTTTTACATAATTCCGAGGCTCAGGTTTGCATGGCTTCTGCATGATAATTTTCGAGATCCTTGTCGAGTTCATCTGAGGACTTCTCCACGGTTTTCTTCCTCCCCAGGCCACGCCCACGACCACGTCCTCGACCTCGGCCACCTCCAACTTGACCCTGACCACGGCTCCAGCCCCCTCGCCCACGGCCACGGCCCCTCAGCGCTCCACGATTGCTTGGACTATACAAAATCCAAAAACTTTAATAAAAACCAAACAGCTACGGAAAAAAGTCGATCTACCAACTCCATTAGTTGATCTCAACTACATAGACTTTAGTCAAAGATCACCATACTATAAGAAACCCAATACAAAATACTGATATTCCCAGGAAACAAGAGCCCTAGGGCTTTACAAAAGGTCTCCCCAGCCACTTAGAGAGGACTGGTGTTCTCCCAACCAAGACTTTCCCAAACAAAGCATGAAAACATTACAAAGGATCCCAAAAGCATATAAACTAAAACTAACTAACTTGAAGGTGGCGAATTCCCTTCTTTGTCCCTCCTTGCATACGTATTTACTACTGGGGGCCTTACACATACATACTATCTTCTTTTCTTTCCTTTAGAATATTACTTCACAAATACAGAATTGGGACTCTTTTTTTCCTTTAGAATATTACTTCATAAATACCGAAAAAGGACTCGAACCTACCACCCTTGACAGAGAGTAGAGATGTCTTGCTCACGCAAACGGTATCACAATTAAGAATGATGCCTTAAATACGTCAAATTTCTAGGATCTCAAATGTCCTACAGTGACTACTTTCTTTAACCTCCTCTGCCCCCACATTTCTTTTTTCCTCTCACTCCCTTAAACATTAGCTTGTTAAAAACTACGAAGCAAATCACATTTGTGATCACACCTAGAAAAGGTTGAAAAACACAGCTTATTCTGCCTTTTATAAATTGTTTTGAAAACTGTTTCTTGTTATTTTAAATTGTAAAAAATGATATTTTAAAACTGTTTACTATTATTTCAAATTATTAAAACTACAAGGAAAATATTTTTTGTTCTTTTATTTTCATTTGTCTTCTAAATATTAATTTTTAAACATAATGCATTTAATTTAAGCCATACTTAAAAATCATTCATGATCATAAACAAACAGTTAATTTAGAAAACATCTCAATTGTAATATCCCTAAGAAAGTCGGAAGTATAAAAATAATAACAAAAAATGTCCTAAAACCCTATCCAACTCCCACAGTCAAACAATGCCAAAACATAATAGTTATAATAATAATAATAAAACCCACGTGCTCCAATCCACTATTAAAATATAAAAACTTTCTTGTAAAAAAATTTGTCACCAGTTAGAACTTACCCAGGAAAATGGTTGACCACGGTAGAGCTATCGGTACGACCAGATTCAGACCTGCACATACCCAAATATCAATCAGCATCTGTAGCGGATTTGTTTCGTTTTCATTAATCATTTTAAGAAACAATTTAATTTCAAAGTACGTAAAAAGAAAGGGGGGACAGATTCCAACACTACAGCCAAGGACAAGGGAACGTCTGTATCAGTCCATGAGATAAGAAACCATTAGCAAACTATTTGTATAAAATTCTACAAAGGCCCATCTGCATAAAAACGAATTTTGACAATATAGCCACATTTTAAGAAGTAACTTGACTGCACTCTGCAAATGCTAGTTTAGGACAGTGCTAGCAGAATTTATGCTTCTAGTACCGTTTGATTTGGAGTGGGCTTTTAGAAAGCTTACAATGGAACTGGAAATACCATTTTGATGAAAAAGGTGTTTATTACATATCTTTCAATACTTTTTTTTTTGTAAGAAACATGTATTTCATAGATAGTATAAAATATACAAAAAGCCACGAAGGCTGGATACAAAAACGCCTTCTAATTAGAGGCAAGATCATTTAGATTGTAGCTATTGAAGGAGGAATAGAAGCATTTACACCCACCAAGAGGTAACACAATAACTCTACAAAAAAAAATAATAAAAGATTAAAAAAAAATCAATTGAGAGAGATGTGGCATTGAAGATCCTGTTGTTCCTCTCCAACCAAACGCTCCAAAGAAAAGCCCTAACAAGTTGAATCCAAAAGATTCCTCCCCCTTTCAATACATTGAATATTAAAATGACATAACCAACCCATCAAACTCGAAAAGTTAGCACTAGCAGGTAGAGATCATATTAGTTACTATTTTTGTCTCTAATAAACACTATATCCTTAATTCTCTCATCTTTTAGAGTTGTTCATTCTTGATACAAAAATGAAATGACCCTCTCTAATTCTTTCGAAATTGTGAGACACGTACTCCCATGCACAGACACATCCATATACACCTGTTTGTTCTCGATACAAAAATGAAATGACCCTCCTCTAATTCTTTCTAACTCCCCCCCCCCAATACAT